TGTAATTCAGCTGGTTAGTGCCAAGTTTAGTTTAATTTGAGCTGGTAACAAGACTGTTACTATGTTATGTTAGATAAACTTTTTACTGTGATAGAAAAGGAAAGAAACTTTATGCAAGCAAACTTAAGGCCATAAGCTGCTTATGAGAGGCAAGGCCAGCTGATATTGCAGGCACTAGCAAAATGAACAGTTTAGATAATAATGAAGCTATACAGAACTTATGATTAAATAAAGCTGAATATAAAAGAAAAGCTTAAACAATACTGTAATTTACCATTTTATAGGCAGGTGCAACTTCATAGCATAAAATATAACAAGATATCCAACAAGTGTGTCTGCAGTCTTTCCCAGTTTCACGTTGTCTGCAGATTTGCTCAGGAAGTTCTGTTCCTGCATCCAAAGCTTTAATAAATATGTTGTTACTGATTGATGACAAAGTTTGGGCATGACCAAGTCAAAAGCCAGATGCCTTAATTCCATTCAGGATCTATCTGCATCTTTTTGGGCTTCCAAGAACAACCTTTGGGGTGAAGTTCCTGCTATTTTTGCTTTTGGTTTAGGCTAGAAACCAAATAGGAAGAAACAGAGGCATAACTAGCATGGTTTGTGATCTGGGCCAGCATCTCCCTTCTCTGCCCTGTTTCTATCTGAGGGTTCAGGCAGCTCATTCAGGGATGGAGGGAGGCATTTTGGTCCACTTCAGATCCATGGTTAGAAGTCCTCTCTGTAAGGCAGGTTTTTACCACAACTCTCTCCTCTCTCTCAAAAAAAAAAAAAAAAAAGATGAGGACTCTTTCTTTTGAAACACGCCCCTACAAAAAGGGAAGGAAGTAGTGATTAGGGCATTCACTTAACAAGGGGGACAGCTGCTTTTCATTTCCTCCTTAGCAGCAGGGGATATAAATGCACATCTCCCTTCTATCCAACGACTGGTTAATGCAAAATACCAGTGTTACGGAAGCAGGGATGGGAACCCCATTCCGGGCATGTCCTGTAACCACTACACAAGGGGTGTCCAACCTTTTTTAATGTGGGGCCGGATCATGAACTTTTTATTACCCAGTGGTCCGGCGAGCCATATTCAAAGACCTCACAGGAAGCGGTATCACATCACCCCCCCGAAACGAAAGTACAGTGTTTACTTTAGTTTCCCGTCGCAGCACCTCGGGCCTCAGAAAATGGCTTGGAGGGTTGCATGGCGACCTGCGGGCCGTATGTTGGACAAGCCTGCACTAGACTATAGAGTCATGCTCTCTCTTGTGCTATCTCTCTCTTTCTCCCTCAGATTTCTCCTGGGACAAAGTCTTTTATGCTGGGATCCTATAGATGTACAAGCCCATTGTCCCACTTTAAATACCTATGAAATATCTGAGATGATAACAATTTTTCCTGGGACAGTCACAGTTAATTTGAGGGAATTGCCATTGAAGCTGCATCTATGCAGCTCCCAGGTTTTGACTAGGATCAATCGGAGCAGACTTGAATGCAATGTACATTTTAGCCTACCAACTAGCAGAACTGGAATTCACTTGAGTTCTTTTCTGAACAGCAGCACAGCTTCCACACTCGGGGTTGAGAGTCTGTCCATCCCAAACAGCCTACAGTGTGGTGTTTGGGCACTCTCCTGGAAAGTGGAAAAGGTGTATTTGAATCTCCTTAGACAAAGGAATTAATTTAACCTGGCTTTTCCATGTCCTGGACAAGTGCTCCCGTGTTCTAAGCTAATATAAAAGAAGGGTCGGTACCCTTCCACCATGTTTTGCAAGGAAGTGATGGACAGAACTGCATTTTTTAAAAAGCCCATTCCCACCAGTGTATGCTGGTCACTCTCTGAGAATGCTTACAGGATCGAACTGCTTGGGAGACATGGAGGTATTTTTGTTGTTGTTTTTTTTAAGGAAAATTTTTTCATGTCCCAAGTCAAATCAGCCAAATCAATTCCAAATCTGTGAGTCATTCAAGAACCATATGTGACCCTAGTACCCAAGCATCCTCTACCCCCTCCTGGGGCTTCAGATGCTTCCAAATCCTTTGGCGGGCATCCTACATGCAGGTCCAAGCCTGGAGGCTTGGGGATTGGATGCCCCCGAGTTTCGCTTGACGTAGTTTGAGGACAAACTGGCCTCTGCGATTAGGCATGGGTTAGGCATCACGCTGCTGGATGGAGGCAATCCTCAGCATTCTGGTGAACTTTAAATTGAAAACAGTAAGGTGTCCCTGGAAGTTAGGTGCCTCCAAGCTTAAGATGCAGCTGAGTGGGGGTTTTCAGGATCTCAGCTACGGACTGAAGCACCTATCTTCTACCCAAACCCTTTTTTGGGGATTTGGCCTTTCATCTGTTACAATAAGTCTGCCCAGCATCAAAACAATTCTGGTAATAGCCACTTATTTGATGTGGCTTGTAACGATCCTCCTTAATTTTTCCCTAGCCTGTAACGTGCTATAGTTATCCGCATCCCTTGCAGTCCACAGAACCATAAGAATGAATCATGGATTTGTTTGGCTTGATTGCACACAGATTAAATCATCCAGTGCCGTGTTCCTGTTGGTGCTCCACATTCATTTACTTCAGGATTGAAATTCAATTACCCAGGGTTCTGAGGTCACAGTTGCAGATAATCCCTCCGATGGTTACAGATGCCTTCCAGAGAGTAGCATTTTCCTGCAGTGAAGCTACCTCCATATGTAGAAAAAGCTGATGAAAAGGGATTTTATAGATAGATAAAGTCCACTTTGACATATTTTCTGCACTTATGTTAAATCTGTTTGGAAACCAAAAAAACAAGGTTCCCACCCTGTTCCATTACCTATAAAATGATGGGGTTTTTGGCAGCAGGAGCAGAAAGGAGAGAAAGCTAGTTGCTTAGTTACAAGTACATATAACTTTTCCATGATTTCCAAAGTCTCAAATTTCTGAGCATGACATTTGTCTCTGTTTCAGAAGATGCTAAATATGGCCAATTATGCATTAAAATTAAAACAAAAAACTGTTTGATTTTAGTTTAATTAGAGTTAGATCTAAGCATATCTCCAATGCTGAGGGGAGTAAAAAAAAGCACAGACAAGTATTTTCCATGGAAGCATAAGTACATTCAACATTGGAAAATATAATTTGTGTTTTAGGAATTAAAACTGACTCATCTTAGCCTATGCCTGACAGGATTGTATAATTACTTTGAGATCTTGATACTCTAAGATCAACAGGTTCTCTCTTTGTCAACACTCTTTCTTTTTATTTATATTATATATATAAGAATGGACACCACTTTGGGGCTATAGATTCAGGTTCTGCTAATGAAACCTGCAGCAGAACCTATGACTGTCAAAACTGAGGTAGCACAGTTGTCTCTCACTTAAAAAAATATTACACACACACACACACACTCCTCCTCCTCCAAGACTAAAGACATAGACATCAATTACTCTGGGGCTGGAAAAGTTGTAAATATCTTCTTTATCCCTGCTTAAAAAAAGGATTTATACGACTGGGCCTTTCCCAGGGGAGTAGCTGTCATCTAGGTAAAACTGTTGGCATAAGCCCCCAAAATAGTACTTGAGCAAAAGGCAGCCCTATGTCACGTATGTGAAATGCTAAAACGTATGCACACAGATATGCACAGCAAACATCTCTCTCTCCAAAATACAGAGAAGCTACAGTGGGCAGCTTACAGTGAATGGAATGAAATTGGAGTACTTTGTTTTTCCGAAGGAACTTTGGAGCAGCGAGGGGAAGTGATGTCAGGAAGTGATTAGGCCCTTTTAAATCCAGTTGATGCTTAACACTTAGAATGAAAAATGAAGCCTTGCTGCAGAGTTTGCGGGTGGAGGGCAAGAGAAACTGTGAGCCTTTCAGGATATGTCTATATGGTGCAAGGCAGCAATAGGCTGAGAGACTTCCGGCCAAATCTGCAAGTGCTGGCTTCTACACTGGTACAGCCATGTAAGTACGGCACTCTGCCCAGACTAATATACTGTTTCTCAGTGGGGCTTACAGACCCACACATAGACGTCCCTGCTTCTATTGTAGGAGCTAGCGTAGGGACTCTCAGACGATAATTGCCTTAGGCCACACAGACGTGCATGCAGAATCTAGTCAGTCTGTGCAAGAGATGACAGGACGCTGAGAAGGAGGTATCGTACAGATCATAGCACTTAGGAGTGCAAGAGTCCATCCCAAAGCAAATGAAACATGCTAAGACTTTATGATGATGGAGTGTGTAGGTAGCTTTTCCATGCTTTGGTTCCCACAAAAACATTGTGGCTTCCCACCAAGATGACTAAAATTAACGTGTAGTCTTTTGTTTAGACAAAGCATTTGAAAAAAACAAGAAGGGCTAAAAATAAACAGTGATTCAATCACGAGAAGCATCTGTCAGTTATTACACTGGTGTGGCTGTTTTAAATTTAAACAGCATCCCCCAACATCTACCGTCAGACCTTCTCCTGTAGGTATCCTGCCTAGGGGACTGCTCCTTTTATTGCAGTCAGTGGGAGTTTGGCAGACAGGAGACGTTTGTTCATATTAATCTGAGGAACACCCTGATGTTATCTGTTTACCTTAAAAATAGCTTTACGTGACAATGTATGGTGGGTCATTTTTTATTTTATTTTTTTTTTAACAGCAGGAAAGCAGGTAGGAGGTGTGGGGAAGGTTGTAGGCTGAAGCTGTAAATCTCTCACCGGATAGTTATATTTATAAGATATAAATATAAGGTATCTTTATAAGATACATTACATGCTAGGATGAGATGGGCAATAATTTGTGATGGGGTTCGAACCCAATGACTCTTTGAGTTCCCTTCCAGGTGATGCTACTGTAATACTTGTATGCGCGTATTCTGGGGAGGTATCCCCATTAGTTAAACATTGACCATGTACCTTGTACTGTTATTTATTGGGTGCGACTGCTGTCCTTCCTCCAAGACAGTTGTA